AAAAAAGCCCCGAGTTTGCACTGAAATAACTCGCGAACGGTAGAGAATTGAAGGTACGTTACCATGCCAGAATGCTTAAATATGCTGGGTATGAAGATTTAACACAACTTGATTTTTTCGATTTTTGGGTACGCAACTGTACTATTGACGCTGATTACGACCGAAAATTGTGCGTTCTTGAACGGGTGGTGGGAAAATTCTGATTTTTGGCCTAAAAATAGTATAAATTTCTAAAAATGTAATGGCAAAATCTTAGAATTTATCGAGGTCAATTTCATTTTTTAAAAGCAAAACAATTTTCGCGATTTTGCGTTATTTTTGTTCTTGGAGTCATAACTCGCTTATAACTCGTTGCCTATGGCTGATATTTTGTCAATGACCTATCCAAATATTAATCTCGGATTCCACACCAAATTCCACCACAATCTATGGTATTTTTGTATTGCTTGCTAAAACGTGCCCCAGCGGGGTACTGTAGGTTTCGTTTTCCCCGCTTTTCTCGGGGCCCTTAGCTTCGATTCGGCTGAAATTTTCTGGGTTGTTAGGCAATCGTAGGGGCACCTCACTGCCAAATACGAAAGCGTACTATCCACAAACTTTCATGAAAAAGACTAAAAACAGATTTTTTAATTCTGCGGCAGAATTTTGTAAATTTTTTGGTCAATTGGTCCAAAAACTGCTACTATTGCTTTTACGAAAAGATCGAAGCGATTCCATGGCAAAAACACCACGAAAATCGCAAATTTCGGTTTTCTACAGTAACCCACGTGGAGCGCGTTTTAGCATGCCATCACAAAATTCCATAAAGTGACGATTTTTCAATTCGAGGGCCTTCTAGAGTTGATTGTAAGATAACCTGTGAAAAATTACTGATTTTGGCTGGTAAATAACAAAGTTACGAGGCCAAGTGCAAAACAAGGCCAGAGAGCCGATTTTTGGTCCGAGTAGCCGGGGTCAATTTTCGAATTTTTAAAAATAAGAAAGTCAGCTGGGTCTTATGGATAAGATTATAGCTTTGATGTTATTATCTACGCCCGTAAAATTTGGGGGCAATCTGGTTCATGATCATGGTGACTTTCAGCTCCAAATCGAAGATCACCCTATTCCAAAATCGAAGTTTAGAAATCTTCTTAAAATTTTTGCGACGCGAAATTGCTTTAATCTTTGCATAGTTTTATTCAACTAATACCACAGATTTATAGGTGAAAATATCCTGGCGACTTCACCTTCCAAAAATTTTTTACGCCTTCTCAAATTCGGTTTATTTCGGGATTTGATGAATTTTCTTACAAGGAGTCGCTTTTAGGTGCTTTTGGAGTTCCGGGACGGGACCTAGCTAGTTCGATAGAGAAAAAAATTCTGAGCAACATCCCGTTTTCAAAAAGCGCTGATCGATAAAGGTGTTTTAGAAAAGTTAATTTAAAGTTCGCGCCTTTTTCTAGTTTTCGGGTCCATTTCCTCGGTTCACGTCCTTTTCGGGGCGGGGCAGGGCGCCATTCGTAACCCTCCGCCAATCTTCCGTCCCTCCGCTCCCTCCGCCATCGCACTAGCCACTTGGCCATGCCTAGGACGAGATCCAAGGCGCGTGAAGTCCACATGTGGCAGGGGCGATCGACCGCCGCAAATCACCTCAAATCACCACATGGGTCCGCACATCGGGAACATTTTTAATAAAATAAAATTTTCTAAAACAGCTTTATCGATCAGCACTTTTTGAAAACGGGATGTTGCTCAGAATTTTTTTCTCTATCGAACTAGCTAGGTCCCGTCCCGAAACTCCAAAAGCACCTAAAAGCGACTCCTTGTTAGCGCGAACACCTGGCCAAATAAATTCATGAACATGGCTTGAGGATGCGCTATTCAAATGGCATCAGATAAAAATATTTATGGACAATTTTCATAGCGCGAAGGAAATTTATAAAATAGCAACAATTTTTGGAAAAAAGCACGAACCAACCGTTTTGGAGGCCCTAAAAGACGCCCTTCCAAAGGGGTACGGTAGCTCGAAATTTTGTAGATGATAGATAAACCCCAGTTCTACATATCCAAGCAAAGAAAATTGCTGAGTCCCCTTTGGCAATTTAAAAATATTTTTCTAAAGTTCAGTTTCGTGACCTCGAAAAATCCATGACCAGGGGGTCGATGAAAACCCCGAAAATTCATCGATCCCAAAAAATTCTTTTCTATGTTTATGCAATTGTGTCAAGCCCGTAGGTATTCTACAACAACTTATTTTGACGTTTTAGCCATAGGTTTTTTTAATATTCGAATTTTACGAAATTTCTCCATACAAAATTTCAACCCTACTTAACTTTTCAACTAGACCCTCAAAAATTCTTAAATTTTGTTGGTGCATATCTACTACCGACATTAACTTAAATAGGAAAAATTAGAACCCAACCGCCACAGGTAACTGAGAAAAATGCAAATGAAGTTTTCCCCGAACGCACATTTTTCGGGTGTCATTTGTATTGATACGTCGCCAAAAATCGAAAAAATCAAGTTGAGTTAAATCTTCATACCCAGCATATTTAAGCATTCTGGCATGGTAACGCACCTTCGATTCTCTACCGTTCGCGAGTTATTTCAATGCAAACTCGGGGCTTTTTTTTTGGCCCACCCTGTACACAGTATCACAGAAGCTGGTTAAAAAATGGATAAATCACACGGTATAATGGACTAAATGGCAAGTGAGAAAAGCAAAAGAGAAGTTGGTGATGATGGCGGCTGCTCATTTTTGCATATATTCGACGAGCTTCTTCAGGTCAGGGTGGGTGTTGATGTAGTTCTAAAAAAGCATATTAAGGTGTTTTGAGAAATCTAGGACTCTGGCTATTTCTGTCTGTCTCTCTCGCTCTCTCGCTCTCTCACTCAAACTAGAAGCTTACTCTCGACGTCCACATCATTTCGATTAGCGTCTTGTCATCCCGGGCATCGAGTTCAATATCAAACGCAAGTGGCGGGGAGAAGCGGAAGAATGGAATACCCATGGCTAGGCAGAAGCCGGCTGAGCGGCTGACGACGACGCCGTTGGCCGCAGAAATCTAGAAAACAGAATGTTCTCTCTCTCTATCTATCTATCTCTCTCTCTCTCTCTCTCTCTCTCTCTCGCTCTCATACTCTCTCTCGCCCTATCTCTCTCACTCACCTGTTCCGTCAACATATGCAGCGTGTGCACCACCGTCACGTTCAGCCTGGCCATCAGCGTAGCCAGAATCCCGGCATCTGGAGTGGATTCGCCGACTCTACGTGTTGGCGGAATTCCAGTACCCAACGACAGAAAAGCGGCCGGTTTCACCTGAAAATGGGGTTACGGTATTCCGTCACGATACCTTATTCGGTCCCAACGCATCGATCACTTGAATATCAGACAATACTTCCGAGGTCGGGTTATTCGCGATGAGGCCGCCATCCATGTAGCAGCCGTGCGGGGCCGAGAAGTAGGTGGGGGCTGCGCTGGAAAAAAGGTTTTTAAAGGGATGGATCCAAAAATCCATCGTCATGCCTTGGTAGCGCCTTCCAAAAAGGGATTCGAAAAACATCGTGCGTCCCTTAATTTATTAAGCAAGTTAGCAAAGAACCCCAGGGAAACGGCAACTAATGAAAACTGGAGCCAGATCTCTTTTCAAAACCGTTTTTGACCCCTTGCCCCAGCTACCGTACCTCGAACACCTGGCAGCTTGCCAGAGCTTCAACTCGCCCGCCGACCCGAGGCTCTTATAGCTTTTTGGCGCCTCATTTGGCAGCTGGTAGCTACGGAATACGACAATTTCCGCTGGGCTGACGTCCGTTTGAGCGGCTGTCACGAGGAGCCTAAAGTACTGCAATAATGCCGTAATCAATTAGGCCTACTTTTTCTTCACGTCCACCATCCTCAATTCTTGCCCGTTCAGCTTGAATTCATTTTGTAGGCATTTTTCGAGGTTCTGCTCTGAGTACGGTCTATCGCCCTAAAAATAATGGATTCTATTGCGCAATAGAATTCAACTTAAATAATCTTAGCTTAGTTAAAAAGTTATTTCTGTAATTATAATTTAATTAAATTTAATTTTAAAGAATAACTAAAAAAGAATTAATTAAAGAAAATTTAAAGAAAAGAATTAGAAATAATAAAGTTATTTCTCACCCTAAAAACCTCGTCCTTAAAACGGAGGTACAATCTGATGCAATCCTGCGGTGATTTGCCAAGAGCTAGCCCGATGGCTAGAATCGACCCGGTGCTGGTACCTTAAAAAGCAATAAAAATTGAGACAGACGAATTTTTATACCTCCCAGCCACTCGATTCTCGGCAAAAACGAGTCACCTAAGATGCGCTGTAGTTCAAAGAGCATCTAAAAATAAAAAATTCAATGATAATTTTCCTTCACGTAACGTAATTCGTATGATTACAACACAATATATTGTACGAATACAACGCTACGTTCATCTACGTTACCTGAGCCTCAGCCAACCCTCGAATTCCACCACCATCAAGTGAAATGGCAAGCTGCTTGTTTGAAGGCACCGTATTCAGAAGGGCGTCACGGATCCGGATCGTATTTTCTATAGTCAAAATTCAGCATATAGTTGTGCATTTTGCGTATCCATGCGTATCGTATCAGCGCTTGCGTAACTCACGATGTATCAAAAATTAAAAATTATGAAAAAAACTACCCGATAACAAATGAGCCCTCATCGCGGCATCCAAACTTGGCTCCAATTTTCCGCTGAACATTTTCCGGATTTGCTCGCTAAAAACTCAATTTTTACAAAATTTAATGTAACGAAACATTTTGGACACGACCCTTAAATTTAGCACGTATTTTTCGAATCCAAAAACCCTCAAAACCCACATGTAAGCCTTATCCCTTTGGTTGACCAGCTGCGAGTCGTTGCCCTCCATTTTCGCCCCTAGCAGGATCAACAGTTGCAGAACTGTTGGGCTGGCGTACTGTAGGAAATAATGGTATCCCATTATTGTAAAAATTACCTTTAATGCCAACTGGATACAGGACTCTTGCGTTCGCTTGTTCACATCGGCTCCAAAGGACACGAAACAGACGCAAGCCGCCAGATCGTCGCGCGCGATAGCTAATAAAAAGAGTAGCTTAAAATTACTGTAGAAATACTGTAGCTTTTTCTCCAGGTTGTGGCACATTTATAGGAGAGAATTTTATATTTGTCACGTCCCCGTGACGATCACGGTTACCTAACCTAATAAATCCCTCAAATAACTATAACTCAATACAATACGCTGCTACGAGCAGCCTTCTCCTTCTTGCCGGCAATCCTCCGAAGCCCGCAGAGCCGTGCTGATTGACCGTGTTCCCCGTCTCTTCTCTATGGGCGTCTCCGCGATCCAGGGCCACAACATCGTGTTCAAGTACAAGCCCTCGTCCACCGACGTTCGCATGTCCACTTTGCATGCGGCTCCTCGGCAACCGGAAGATGTCCCTGTATTCCCCCGGTGCCCAACTATATAAGCGGCCGCCCTCTCCCGCTCTTCAAGTCGACTTCTCCATCTCCGTCTTCCCGGGCTCCAGCTAGCTGTTCGCCACCGCGAAGCTACGTCTGATTCCCGGCCTTCTTCTACGCCTTATTCGTGCTCGCCTTCATCGCCATCGCCTTTGCCCTATTTCCCCCTTGTCTTCTGTTTGATCGTTTATTGTAACAGTCTACCCCACCGGGAGTCTGTAATAAACTGTATCCCCTGACCCAGTCGTTTGCTCTCCCAGGCTATCGAGGCGCAAATTCTTGTCACTGGTGTGACAATATTACTAAATTCCCCAAAAATCTCTGCCGGCCTGCGCCAATTTTAGCTCTAATTACCGGCTTGTAGCGGTGTCATCCCACGCCCATTTGGTAGCTCCAAAGTTCCGGAATCGGCGTGCGAGCAGATCACGCGCAAAACCTAAATAAAATTTTTTGTACCGATCTACCGTAACCCACATCCGGTTCCAGCTTCAGGTGCAGCACCGCGTCGCCGGAGCTGTTCATCTGGATCAGCCAGTCGAGCTGCGGGGCACAGATGAGCTGGGCGATGCTGGAAAATGCATATAAAGGGCCAGGATTCCGGAAACTTACTATTTCCAGGTCTCGTAGTTTTTGATTTGATATCCAACCAGGCAGCCGAGGACTTGTTTCTTGGCGTTGCGGCAGGCTTGTAGGTCGGAGAGAATTTTCTGAAAAAAATTCAAAATAGAGTCTTCTCTCTCTCGCTCCCTCACTCTCTCTCTCGCTCTCTCTTTCTGCTATCTCTCTCACTGTCTCTCGCTCTCACTCTCACCTTCAACCCATCAAAATTCTCATTCCGAATGGCTTCTTGCAAAGGCGTAAACCCGTGCAAATCTTCAGCATCAACACAGACCCTGATGGCTTCGGCCGAGTTGTAGGCCAACAATGCCTAAAGCACAACTTAAATACCGTAACCCTACCATACCTGCATTAGCCTTAAATCCCCGCTTCGCGCCGCCACATGGTAGGCCGTCTCGCCCCTCGACCCAAGCTTCTCGGGCTTGGCCCCGGCAGAGATGCAGAGCATTGCGGCTTCGTACTAAACAATTTATTCTCATAACCATTATGTTTTTTGCATTTTTCAAGATTGTTGTGGTGGTGCTAGCTTGCTAGACCACAATAGATCCTCTTTCCCGGCTGTCCCTCCTATCCAGTGGGTAAGCCACCGGCGCGCGCCCCCTGCGGTCGCGTCGCGTGCGCCACTTCCCGCCTAAGACTAGATTGTATTATCTCGTTGCGGGTCCACTTATCGGCACAGAGATGTCTGTTGCCGATCCTCCTGCCACCACTTTATGTAGATAAACAGTTGTTTGATACTGTTGTCCGAAGCGCATTCTACTTCATTCCAAGAACACAACACTGGCGATCAGGATCATCAAGGACTCACGCAAGAACAAGGAATTCCAAGCCAAGAAGCCACTCGTGCCCGAGGAACGTGATCAAGGATGAAGAAAGAAGGAGAAGCGCAAGAAGTCAAGTCAAGCCGACGAGACAAGGACCAAGAAAGCGACAATGTCCAGTGCGACAAGGTCGAGGTCAGGGACGTCTACATGGTTGGCGAGCGACAAGGAAGAAGGCATGGCGAGAAGATCAAGAAGCAGAGCGTGCGGATGATGGCCATCGATGGATGATGTGCCGGTGGCCGCTCGTGCAGGATCAGTTGAAAGGGAGGTGTTTTGTTCCCCTTTTTGCCCCCACATTTTCGGGTGGAGGGCGCGCTGCCGTTGTCGATGAAGGAGGAGGGTGCAAGCGCAAAAAGAAGTGCCCGGCGTCCGGCCGCCGTTTTGCCCCAAGGACCGCCCAGAAGCCGCGAAGGTTGCAGAAGAAGAAAGAAGTTGGTTAGTCCTCACCCACGAAAGGACCGAAGGAGCGTGCTGAAGCTGGCGGATCATCGATGGATGAAGGGCCGCTGGCGCTGCCAAGGACCGAAGGAGCGTGCTGAAGCTGGCGGATCATTGATGAATGAAGGGCCGCTGCCGCTCCCATGGACCGAAGGAGGTGCGCGTGTCAAGCCCAAGGCCGCGTCTACAAGTGAAGCCGAAGAAGGAAAGAAGGATGATGGCCACGTCGTGTTCGTGCGCGTGTTCAAGGTTGAGGGAAGGAAGATTGCCACGTCGGGTTCGTGTGCGTCGTAAGAAGAAAATAAGCAAAAATAAGTGTCATCTTATTTTTTGGTGTGTATTTCCATATACTGTAAATCCGGCTAAGCCTTATTTGTCTCTCCTGTCCCAATTTCTCCTAGGAACTTGTACTTTGTTGTTGTACAAGGGGAGGTGTTGTGGTGGTGCTAGCTTGCTAGACCACAATAGATCCTCTTTCCCGGCTGTCCCTCCTATCCAGTGGGTAAGCTCACCGGCGCGCGCCCCTGCGGTCGCGTCGCGTGCGCCACTTCCCGCCTAAGACTAGATTGTATTATCTCGTTGCGGGTCCACTGATCGGCACAGACTAGCTCTGTTGCCGATCCTCCTGCCACCATTTATGTAGATAAACAGTTGTTCGATAACTGTACGTCCAAGCGCATTCCACTTCATTCCAAGAACACAACAAAGATTAATG